AACAAAGGTAATTTTTGAGTGACTTTAGATTTGAAGGTTTCAATGCGTCTTTCAGTCTTTGGGTTGACAGTGATAAATGGTTTAGACATTGTATTTACATGATTTGTTATTGAAATTAACTGTCCGCAATGATCTGAATCAAGCAATGATATAATTTGTTTCTTAATTGGTACAATGTCAGTATAAATATTATCCAGGCAAGTGGCACTAGTGGGAGTTATCCTAGTGGGCTCCAGAAATAAGTTCGCAAGGTTAAATGAGGCAAATAAACTTACAATTTTAGTGCTTAGACTAGAATTCTCTAACAAATTTACATTAAAATCGCCACAGGTAATGATGAATTTATTTGAGCTACTGAGTTTATTTAATACTTCATCTATTACTGTTTCAAAATAGTCATACAAACCAGAAGGTGGTCTATACACACTTAAAACAATAAACCGCTCTAATTCCACACAAGCTATTTCAACAGTGCGTTCAACAGAGTAACTAACTATATCCTTGCGTTCTTTAAATTTAAGTTTGTTATTTATTAATATTAGTGAACCACCATGTATAGCGTTCTCCCTGCTGAACGAGCTACCAATCTGGTGATTACCAAAATTGAACATTAGTTGATGAGATTTCAACCAATGCTCAGTAATACACAAAATGTCAACATTATTACAATTCAAAAATAACTCTATTTCTAGTTCCTTGCTCATAAAACCTTGAATATTTTGGTGAACCAGACTGATAACACTACTGTTTGATTTGCAAGAGGTTCCCTCTATTGTCTTACTTTTTAATTTAAATTATTAGAAATGTCAATATTTATTGAATTATTATTAATAATGTCAATATTTGAAAGTTGCTCAATAGGAGCAACCTGTTTAGCCAAGTTCTTGGCTGTAATATTAAAAAAATATGATAGCGACACCGCTATTCGTCTTATATAATATTTTGAAAGATAGTACCTATCTTTAGTCATATATAAATCTTTAGCCTATGTTCCATATGAAGAGAGAAGTGCTCCAGTATTCATGGCTCACGTCAAATATTTGTTATGACATCTTAAACGAGGCACACGGTGAAACTTGACAAAAAATTATATTCTGTGAACTGCGAGTCTCCGCACTGCAAGTTCTAAGTTTGTAAAAAACATTCCTTATATGAGTACTACCTATAAAAAAATATGAACTTTCAATTCCAACGCACTGGCTCATAATGGAAATTCTATTCATCAAATGCTTAAAGCAATTCAGTAATAATTACCTCTTGTGTATATTTCTTGTGACAAATATACGAAATTATTTTGATTTGATGAGTTTAGGTTTAGATACGAATGTTAAGGGTAGGTTAGACGTTTTGTTTTTTAATGGTATTTTTTCGTGGTATTTTTCCATGGCTTTTTTTAAAACACCCAGTGTTTTTAAGCCGAATTCGCTTAGCAAGTTAGTGAGAGCTGATAATTCTGAATAAGGGTTCTGCACCAGCAGGAAGTTACATCGAGCGAGTAACCCAATCTCATGGCATTCCATATTCATAAAAAGTAGGTGTTGGTTACTCGTCCATAAACAGTGTGACAAAAAAGCTCCTGGCACCAATATTAGAGTTTTGCCATGGCCTGCAATGAGACTTAGTCTCAAAACTATCGAATATCTAAGATCAAAAGGAAGCCTATTAGATACTTAAAGTCAAATAAACAATCAACAGGAATTTATATGAAATGAAATGAAATATTCAAACAATAGTCAGAAAAACATGATTGTGTTCTTCATTTTTGTTATTTTGCTGCAATTTCCCTAAAAATGTATTTTTGGGTATTTCTAAAAAAAGTAATAAGTTTTGAGACTGGTACATATATATACAAATTATAGAGGTAAATACTTTTTCATAAAAGCCTTAAAACGGAACGCCCTATTTATTTGACGAGACTTGAATTTTTTCACTCACAGTGATAGTTATACTTCGTACGTATGTTGTTTAACGCGTGTTATTTTTCGATGTAAGTACACGGAACTTTCAAAAAATTATAAACTGTGAGTCTCCAACACTTGCAAAATTTGTTATAGGGCTTCTATTTGGAAGAAAGTTCTTTAAAAAAAAATTAACTTCGTACTCACTTGCCCATAATGGAAAGCCATTATCAAATATAATTAAAAAACCATAAAAAAACACTTATGTAATAATAATATGACCTAATATAATATCGTTTGTGCTGCCAACTTTTCTTTAACTAATTACCATCTTTTGAAGGTGATTAAAGGATAAAAAAAGAGAACAATTACAGTAATAGCGATTTACAGTACCTATTAAAAAGTATTTGAAATGCATGTACACTAAAAAAGTAAAATATATTAATTTAATCAGTTATTGACGTAGTTAAGAAAATGAAGATTTACGCAGTCAAGAATCAGTAGATAATAGTATAATTTTTATAATTTAAAACCAAGTCATATCTTCTGTAACTATTGGTCCGTACGTAAAATTATAGTATATAATCAGAATCTCCTTTGAAAACGCAGTTCAAAGAATGGGTATGTAAAATACGGATTACTAGTCAATAGCTTATTTTAATTATTTTATGTAATTAAATAATCAAAGATTAAGTACCCTATCTCATCAAAATAATTTTATTAATGAAAGCATGATTGTATTTGAAAATTCTTTTGTATTGAAAAGTCAAAAAAAGTTACTATTAACCGAGGAAACTATCAAATTAGTTTAATTTCGACAACTTAATGATATCATAATTATTTTCTAATGATATCAATAGAAAGGGATAATTTTTGCCTTACTCGACAACCCTGAATGTAGAGTGAAGTAGTTTTTTGTCTCTTTCATTTAGCGACTCGGTTTACCGGTGCTACGGTGCCACGGTCCCACGTAGTTGACGTTGTTACATTTTCTGTGGTCAGTATATTCTTATCTGTGCCACAGGTAGCATCACTAGTAGACAGACGGTCACGGTAGACAGTAGTTCATTCTCAGTTCTCTGTCTTTTCATTCGTGTCATATTTTCAAGCGAAAATTTTAGTTTTACTAGATTGTTGAAATTACATTTGTATTCCCGTTTCATTAGTTAATCAATTATTTAAGTGTAAAGTGTTATTGGTTTTAGTTAATACTAAGTTATTATGGCTGATTTTTTGGAATCCGAAGCTGAGGAAAGCGAGGTTAGTAACAACTTGAGCTTGTAGTATTTTGGAATTAAGATTACGATGGCGTAGTTTCTGACAATGTTTGGTTGGTTATTGTAGATTGATTCTGAAGATGAGCAGCCAGCGAAGAAGCCTAAGCGCAAGGCTGCCGTGCAAAGTGATGACGAAGATGAGGATGAAGAAGGTAATGTTGACATCGTGTACTTTCTCTTGTATTGTATCACAAAGTAATTTTATCTTTTAGTAAACATTACTGCGTAACTCCGCTCCGTTATGTTGACACAAACAGTGTAGAGCATTCGACTAGAGATAATTTTCATTAATGATGCACAGAGGATGGTGTCCTAAATTTACAAACTCAAATCTGGCACACTTCTTGTAACCCCATTACTGTATAATATATTATACTAATTTGAATCTTCTAGAACATACAGATTTATCAGGTGTATGTTTTTATGTTTTTTATTTTGTTTACTAAAATCAAAATAGTCATCAGCCAATCAGAATGAATTATCTGTAAACAAATCACTGCATGGTATTTTATTTGACCCTTACACCTTCATGTCATGCTAATTCAACACCACAACATGACTCACTATTTAAAAATCAAATAAGAAAACAACTAACATAAACTTTAAAATTTTGTTCTTAGATGATGAGGAGCGTCTCCGGGAAGAACTTAAAGATTTGATAGATGATGCTCCTATAGAGGAGTCAGGGAGTGATGGAGAGGATTCAGACGCTAGTGCAGGACCAAAGAAAAGAAAGAAAAGTGATGACGAACTGGATGATAGATTGGAGGATGAGGATTATGACCTCATTGAGGAGAATCTTGGAGTTAAGGTTGCAAGAGTAAGTACAATTCTACGGAATGTTTTGTAGATAAAATATGTCACACTTTAGATAAAATATGTATTATGAACTTTAGAGGATTTATGTTTCCTCATAAAAGGCCACAATATATAAACAAAGTTACCAAAACCTAAGTGGATTATTGAAGTATAAGTATCATGACTTTATATTAAAAGTATGAATCATATAAAAAGACTGCCTCGTTGGCCGAGTGGTCGCAAGTGCGACTGCCGTGCAAGAAGCTCGGGTTCGATTCTCGGGTCGGGCAAAGTATTACTGCATTTTTTAAAAAAAACGCAGTAGTAGCACAGAGTCTGGAATTGTGCCCGGTATATGGCAATAGGCTCACCCCCTATTACATGGGACTCATAACATAAATAGTAAAAAGTGGGTGTTACTTCTGTGTGCACCTCTGCCTACCCCTTCGGGGAGAAAAGATGTGATGTTATGTTATGTATAAAATATAACTGTTCCATAGTTTCTTAAATTGATTAAATACTGAGTAGTAATCAAGATTGTTATAATACAAGTTACGACTATGTGTCATATCAAATATACAACAAATTATATTTGCATAATTTGTTTCCTTACAATGAACAGGAGCCATATTTAATATCTGTTAATTACGTAACTGATGCTTATAAGCATATCCTTTGATGAGAGTCCAGACAAATAAACATTAAATATGATCAGGCAAACAGTGCAATATGATGATAATATTATATGTTTCTGTAATAACTACAATTTAATTCAAAGCGTTTACTTAAATAATTCCCAATATAATAACCTTTTATATCTAAATCAATCTGGTTTAGTGTTTGTTCCAAAATTAAGTAATATTTTTTCAACAGAATAAATTCAAGCGGTTGCGACGCTTGGATGAGGATGATGACAGTGACAACGAAGGGAATGATGATCCAGAACTTGAGAGGGAAGTCATCGCTGAGAAACTCTTTGTTGGAGGATCAGATGAGGTAAATGGAGCATTGCTTTCATATTGTTTTTGTGGTATTATTTACTATCATGGTTATATTATAAAATACCACATGTATTATGTGGTATTTTTGTGGAATGTTTTCTTATTAGTCTAACACTTCCATAATATACTATAAGTAATTGTTGCTTAATGCATGTGGTACTTTTTTAAATAACTGCTATTAGCCAATGAAGAAAACTTTGGCTAATAGCAGTTTATTAAAATTCTTAATAAGTTAGGCTAATTGAAGTTTATTATAATGCAACAATTAGTTAATGAGTCTATTAATTATAATTAATTATATTTATTTTATGAAAGTTCAGTTTAAGCTATTCTTTACCTATTTATCACTTTGTACCAGTTTTCACATGTATTTTTGTTTTAAGGAGGATGAAAATCGTTCAGAATCAGCTGCACCTCGTGGAGAGGCGGACTATGATGATGATAATGAGGATCTGGAGTCAGACGCGGATGATTTCATTGTCGATGATGACGGTAGACCCATAGCAGAACGCAAGAAGAAGAGGAAACCTATTTTCACTGATGCGTAAGTAAAATTTTTGTATAGAGATAAACATAATAAGGCAATAAACTGTGTCAGATTTTACTGATCTGCGTCAAATTGACGCCATCAGAGGCTAAGAATTTTTATATGAGATTAGTTATGCCAATTGTTTTTGTTTGGGAACATCTAATAAAGTATGATAAATAATATTATCAGATAATACCTATTCATTAATTTTAGTTCTCGTCATCTTATTTTAGCTTTTAACATCAACTACATACTAACAATACTAGCTAAACCAAGTCTATAATCCTAATATTTGTACAACAGGTCATTACAAGAAGGTCAGGACATATTTGGTGTGGACTTTGACTACGACGAGTTTGAGAAGTATGGGGAAGAAGATTATGAAGATGAAGAGGACGAGGACCTCGATGAATACCTTGAGGATGAGGAAGAAGAAGGTATGTAGAATACTACCATTTTGTTTTGTTGGCAATTTCTTATTGATTATAGAAATTATATCTTTTCATCTATTTTATTTGAAAAATTTATAGAATTTTTCATACTTTAAAATTTGTAAGTACCTACCTATTTCTTAAATAAGCTTAATTACTTTAGTCTACCAGTTCAAAAGCCCCATCTCAAGGAAATAGAAAAGGTATTGAACAGAGTTATAAGGTTGAAATCTTAAAATGTATTGTAATACACGTTTTTATTTGTGATCTAGGTGAAAAGCGCAGAACAAAGAAGGGAAAACCTAAGCGACCGAGTAAGAAGTCCATATTCGAGATCTATGAGCCTAGCGAGTTGAAGAGAAGCCACTTCACTGATTTGGACAATGAGGTTTGTACAACAAAAAACAATTCTTGTTTCCTTCGAAAGTTTATTGGAAAATTTATGATAGGAGAAATGTCTGTCTCCATATTAATAGAGGGTTGTAGTTATAATGTGATATTAAATTGTTTCTCCGAACAGCAGCCTGATCAAGACTTTATGGGTTTCAATAGTTATTCTTAATTCTTAGTAATATATAACTTCAGCGTAATTAGTAAAATTTAAGTTTATATTCCTAAATTAATGGAAAATATTGTCAAAACTTTTAAAAACCATTAATTTTTCTAAATCGATCTCTTATTAATAACTTTAACATTATCACAATAGATTCGTAAAACGGACGTGCCGGAGCGCATGCAAACTCGCGAAGTGCCGATCACACCCGTCGAGGAAGGCAGCACTGAGCTAGAAGATGAGGCGGAATGGATATACAAGCAAGCGTTCTTGAAGCCGCCTGTGTCCAAACCTGATGCACAGGAGGCTAGGGAGAGAACTCGGAGGTAAAGTATTGACAGTCATTTTTTCTAGCTTTTTGGGGTTTAGATTGTGAGAAAATGGATAAAAAGTCCCCACTTTTCTTTGTGAAAGGATTCCAACATTAAAAAAATGTTTCAAATTGGGTCAGATTTCTTTTGAATTTTCTGACTACTGCATTATATAAATCTATCATTCTAGTGAAATTCTCTCAGATGAGCTGATAAAGTTCTAAGGCATTGCGCCTAGGTTTAGAATTAGTAAACTATCTTGATTATACTTATGCATCTATGTATTACAATATTTTTTTAACAATAAAATATTTTCTCACAGAGGTAACAGCACAATAACCAAGATCCGTCAAGCACTGGACTTCATGAGGAACCAGACACTGGAGGTGCCGTTCATAGCGTTCTACCGCAAGGAATATGTTCAGCCAGAGCTCAGTATCAATGACCTGTGGAAAGTCTATAAATATGATGCCAAGGTATGTTTGTTTTATTTCAGTTATTTATTCACGATTCTATTATTTCAACCATCTCGCCCCCCACTGAAATAATATTGATGCGATTGTCTTTAGCAACCAATCTATCTATGCGTCAAATCTAAATTGGTTCAGTGGTTTATACACATAAACAAAAGTAATTAATAAACTTGACTTTTGCAAATATTCTATTATACAAGTATTTAAAAATATCTTATTTTGAAACTGTGAAACATTTTGTTTTTTATCATATTTATGACCATATCATAGTTCTAAGCTCTTTTGTGTTTTTTTACCAGTGGTGTCAACTGAAGCAGCGTAAGGAGAACCTCCTGAAGTTGTTTGAGAACATGCGAGAGTATCAGCTAGACAAGGTGATGGAGAACCCTGACGCACCCATACCAGACAACATGAGGCTCATCAAAGATGAGGATATTGAGAGGTAAATATTCATTACAATATAATCGCTTACTATTACGTGAACTTTCTTCTTAAGCCTGCTGCATAAAAATCATACTCTTGAGTGCCCTTGGAACAATCATTTGCGCTTCACATCATGAAGTCATCAAACTAAATTTTGGTGAATCAAATCAAAAGAACAAATCATTACAATAATAAATTTTTTCGTCATAGGGGCAGCAATACGCCTCTAGCCTATTTCCGTGTTTCATAATCGGGTTCTGAAATATTAAAAATTATTTTGAAGTCTGTCACCTTAAGTTCTATTCCGTTTTACACATTTAAATGAAATGTCTAATATTTGCGATATTCAAATAATATGATGTGTAATAAATTAATGTAATATACTCTTTCTACTTAGACTGAAGAACGTGCAGACCCCCGAAGAGTTGCGCGACGTCCACACTCACTTCCTGCTGTACTACTCCACCGACCTGCCGGAGATGCAGAAGGTGCAGCGCACTAAGGAGAGGAAGAAGAATTTGGAGGAGAAGAAGTGAGTTTGTCATTTTCATTAACTATACTTTTTAATTCTGTTAATTTGTGTTGGCGTAGCTAATAGTCGCATAATCACACATCGCGCCTTAGTAGTATATATTATCTATTTCTCTTGTTTTAAATTGACTAGAATTTCTCCTGTGTCGTAAATGCATTTACAAACAATTTCACAGACAAAAATATTGTAATTTTTACGCATTTGTTTTTTAAAACAAACTTTATTATTTAGTTTCATTTGAGTAGGTTTTTGAATGACAGACTTTAACTTGACAATTTATTTTTTCCCTAGGCGTCTAGCTCGCGAGGAAGCAGACAGGAATGGCGAGGACCCCGAAGAAGCAGCTGCCGCAGTGGAAGCTGCGGAGCCGAGCGAGGAAGAGGTCACCGAGGTCAAGTATGCCGTGCGCTCCGGACCTTACGAGTTGTGCAGAAAAGCAGGCATTGGTGAGATATCTAACTTCTTTATTATGACTTCACTATGGATGGGAGGTTAGGGTCTACTAGATTGGCAATGGACAGTTTTATTTAAATCCTTGTGAACTCATTTGGCATTATAAAATTGCAACTAATTTAGTTAGTCTTCCAATTAGTGCGGTTAGAATTAATTAGTCTACCTAGTTATTTGATTGAATGTCTTGTTTGAGCTGTTAGTTGAAGAGTCACATTAGAAATGAGTATCGTTATTTAACGTATTTCCTAACAACATACTAATCTGTTGTACGTTTACAGAGCCCCTGGTGAAGAAGTTTGGTCTATCGCCGGAGCAGTTTGCGGAGAACGTCCGCGACAACTACCAGCGACACGAGGTCGAACAACAACCCGTGCCGCCACTAGAAGCCGCCGCTGAATATGTAAGTATACTCGTATTAGATTCTGTTCAAAGTATTGTGAGCTGATGTTTTGTTTAACCCCTTATCTGTTGATATATGAGACACAATAAAAAACAATTGTGTCTGGCGTATATGTATGTCTCCGGCATACCAGGGGTTAATACAGATATTATAATTTTTAATCTAGACGTTTTTGGTATTTCAAGACGTTTGACTAGTTTTGCCAATCTTTGGAACTATGACTAGCCAGATTTGTTCCAATCATCTGGGAGCTCTTCCTTAGTCCAAAGGACCATGCCCATATTACTATGGAGCTGAAAGTCAGTAATGCTATGCAATGCCCAAATTACAGTTATATGTCATACGATAGCTCTTTAGCCATATTTGTATGATATCTAGATTTAATGTAATTTAAAGCACCGATTCAAAAGATTTTGTACAAAACATGAGAAGTTCCTACTGACATTTTATACACTTTATCGTTTATAGACAGCATTGCTATAAGTTTTTCACTAGGAACTTCATAATCATCATGACTTATCTGTATGTTGTCAGTACAGAATATGTATGTGAAATCTAGTAAATAATAATAATAATATGGTAAGAGACCAAATATGTGTCTACCCATGACAAACCGGTGTTTCTAATGAGATTATAAGGGCAAAAAGCAATATAATAGCATGGGATGTATTGAACTATCTTTTCATGTTTTTTATATTATGTTCGATTCGATTTTATATTTAACTAAAAGACAAATACCAATTGTATTATTCACTGCCTTTTAAGTACTTATTTACTAATACTTTATACTAGCTACTTCCACGCTGGTTCACACGCTCTGCCAGCCTTCCTCGATAAATGCGCTATCTAACACAAAGAGAACTTCAAATCAGACCTGTAGTTCCGAAGATGAGCGCGTTCAAACAAAAAAAACAAACTCTTTAGCTTTATAAAATTAGTATATAGATTATACAATAGGTTGTTTACCTTTTCTATATCGGTTTGTTGCTGTATTGGTTTCTGGTGATAAGATACAGGTTGCGAAGAAAATAAAAAAGAATTATTAGTAGGTAAGTGTTTATTGTTACATTCTTCAATTAATAGTAAAACGTTATCTAAAAATGATGCTGGCCTCAATATATTTGTCGTATGCCTAGCCCAACCCAAATACCATATTATGGTCATGATGTGGCAACAGCAACCCACTGTTCTGTAACCAACGAGACAGTTACAACAGTAGCCTAATATTACATCTAAGCTATGATTATTAGATGGTTCTGCATCAATTAAAATATTTACGGCGACCAACATGGCGGGACTGAATTCGAGCCCTTAATAAGTAAGGTCTATTTCCTCCAACAGCCGCAACCATTTCTTCAGAATGTTCCAGTTCGGGACATACTTCTATTTCGTATAACCCATTTTTTCGAACATGCTCGCCGTAATACGATTGTGCTTGTTTAACCTGATGGGCCCAAAGCGAAAAGAATTAAATCAGAGTAACTAAATGCAGGAAATATATTTAATTGAGGAAAGCTCCCATCGATGCGTCTAAACATGACAGATTGCATATTTAAATTATAATTTCTTACAAATTCTGGCAAGTAAAGGAGTATGTAGATACTTCATGGCCCTTTCTATTATAAACCGGGACACATAAAAGTTGTGTTCTGTAATTAACATTTTTTTATTAAATGCATGGATGCATTACCACAGTCAGCAAAAATGCAATGTCGTGATGTACTAGCAGCTCTCTTGTAGTGAGGTAAATAGATAGGGACCGATTCAACAGATCGCTAACGTTGGTCACCGGTGACCACCATGGCGTTTAACATGTTAAACCAAATTCAAGTAGTAATTGGTAAATACCTGAATTGATCTAATCCACGGAAAATATCCATAAAGTGGTCCGTTTTCTTCAAGAAAGTGAAGTCTAGCTTCATTCAAAGAGCAACCACAACCAGCACAGACATTAGTATGACATAATGTCCTCGGTGTGTTTACATCTGCGTTTTATATCAATACATAATAAGCATGACACAACACATCTTGCATAGGAAGCTGAAAACAAAATAATGTAATTATGTTAGTCAATTGTCACATACCATAAAAAATGATTAACTATTTAGAGCGATGTTACTTTACGCGTCTATGATGAGTTAAGACCTGAAGTTCGATGCTAGGTATTTCATAAAATATTATTTTATATAGCGACGAGGTCTCGCACTCTCAGGCTTCAATTTATCGTGTACGCAGACTCTACGTAATTTCCCTGCAGATTCTCAAAACACGTAATACAAAATACTTAGGTACATATTCAATTCTGAGCCAAATAGATAAGATTATTTGCAACTCTTGAAGCACAGTTGTAACCAGATGCCTCTGTATTCGTTGAACGCGTAACCCGCAATTCAGGCAACGCAACATTTTGTATTACAAACGAAATATCCAAATCACAAAACACAGTCAAGTCCTTATAAGAAAAAAACCAAAGTCACCGAATAAAACGACACTCAATATCCATAAAACAAAGCCAAGGTAGATTTTTTATCGAACTGAAGAGAAAATCGGAAAACACGCAAACGCAAACAAAGCGGCAGATGCAGGTAGAATGAGTGACAATAAGTCATGTCATTTTATTTTTTACAATGTTTTTGACTTGGAACTAAGTCTTTTGAGCCATTACTTCATTAGGTTTCGGCTTTACTTTTGAGTGTCTGGAGACATCCTTTAGATCTTTATTTGACTTTTTGATGATTAAAACCTAAAATATTAATCGATTATTTAGATCAATTGATGAACAAGTTAAGGACTCCTTTTTTTGAAGATTTTATCTATCACAACGAATGAATATACTTGTGCTAAAAGACGTGATTCCAGACCATAATAAACAAAGCATGATTATAACGATGTTAAGTACCTACTGCATTATCAACAAAAACGTCTTATTTTTCTTAATTATTTAACCGGTGCTTTGTAAGACTTAAAATTATCAACTAATTCTAGTTTTAATTTATTAGAACAATCTAGTAATATATATTTTTTGGGCGTTTCTGGGGCAAATATGGGCATGGTCCTTTACAATAAGAGGCGTTAGAACTTTGACGGCGGAGCATAAGTCGGCTTGTAGCATTTCCGCCGTGATTAGGTCGAGTCCTGGTGCTTTGCCTGTCTTTAAAGAGCGGACTGCTTTAGCTACTTCCGAGGCTGACGGTGGTTCAACGTCAATGTCAAGTAGCCGCGGTGGTGTGGAATAAATATTTAGTGCATCAGGTGTAGCTGTCGCTGATAAGCGGAAGACCTCTTCAAAGTGTTCACGCCAACGTGCCAGCTGCTCTTCTGAAGTCGCAATAAGCTGACCATCCTTAGATTTCAGGGGCTTCTTCCTCCTAAACTTACTATCACCTGCCAAGGATTTTGTTGCTTGGTATAAATCCTTTAAGTTGCCGGTGTTTGCAGCTTGTTGAGCACGATCCGCAATACCATCAGCCCACTGTCGCCTATCCCTGCGGGTACTGCGGTAGATTTCCTTGCGCTTTTGACGGTATTGCGTGTTAAGATCGGCTCGAACAGTGTCGTTGTGAGTCTCAAGAAGCTTCAGATGAAGTTTTCTCCTGTCCTCGATCAGATCCCATGTGCGTTGCGACATCCAGTCCTCTCGTGAGTGAGTCGTTTTGTGCCCTAAGACGTTGGAGCTGGTCTCTGTGTAGGCCACTTTAATGCGGTTCCACTCCTCGTCCAGTGAGTCTACCGCTGCTTCAAGTGTGGCAAAACGATTGCGCAATTCCAGTTGGAACGATTTTCGCGTCCCTGGGTCATGCAACTTGCTCACCTCGAATCTTCTTCCAACTCTGCCAGGTCCTCTATGTGCATGGGCTATCGCAATCTTAAGCCGGATTTCAGCAACAACCAGATGGTGGTCGCTATCAATATCGGCTTCCCTACGGTTGCGGACATCGAGCAAAGACGAACGCCATTTGGAACTTATGGCAATGTGGTCAATCTGGTTCCTTGTGACGCCATCGGGTGCACTATACTTAAGCACGACTTAAAATTGAGAAGCGTTTGAGTATTCCGACACAAGTGTCATGGTACGTGTGTACTGCAGACGGGGTCGATCGTGTCGGCGGCGGAGGTGGTCCGGCGCGCCGTGTACATGTGCGGCGTGCAGCTGGCGCGCGAGCCGCTGCTGCGCGCCACGCTGCGGGACGCGCTGCGGGACCGCGCCACGCTCTCCGTCACGCCCACCGCCAGGGGACTCAAGGACATCGACGAGAACCACGCCTGCTACAGGTACACACACTTTGTTACTTACTTGTTTCAAAACTAACATAATATCACGCCTTTTATCCTCAGTTAAATGAGATTAACCCTATTCCTATCTAACCGCAATCTATGGTCTTTGATGGGCGTTCTCAAAAATTAATTGTTGTAACTTTGACCTTTAAATGTAAAATTCTCGCGAAGAGTCAGTGTCAATCTTGTAAAAAACTAGACGAAGAAATTAAGTCTCACAAGTCAGTTAACTTACCAAAAAAAGGTATATAACATAACATAACATCACGCCTTTTATCCGCGAAGGTGTTGGCAAAGGTACACATTATGACACTTAATGCCACTGTACAATGTAACACCCACTTTCCACTATTTATGTTATGAGTCCCATGTATTAGGAGGCAAGCCTATTATTATATACCGGGTGTTTGAATAGTGTTAATTCAAATATATCCATAGAACTAAAAAAGCTTTTCAAGTCATAAAAATGACATCTTTAAAAATAAGAATGCCTTCTTTAAGAATAAGTATCTAATACTAAAACATAATACTAATAGATTACTTTCGCAATTTTTCCCATTTTACTAAAATTTTTTTCTATGTGTCTAGTTTGAAATACCTAAAGAAGAAGCCAGTACGTGACCTCACGGGCGATCAGTTCTTGAAACTGACAATAGCTGCGGAAGACAAACTACTGGAGCTCAATATCAGCGAACAGATTGAAGGAAACACTTCTGCTAGCTACCTGGAGGAACTCAAACAACTGTATCAGAAGGTAGGAGAAAAATAAATTATTGAATGACTCAGTTTTTGTTTAAAATAATTAAGTCGTTTGCCAAAGAAGAGAAAAAGAAATAATTAAGTCATTTGCCATATTCAAATTCGAATATTTTATGTTCTAACAACGCGTCAATTTCTTTGATTCGCTTTTTATATTTATCACCTTTTTGCCTATAGCTGCGTTATCTTATGATTCTTCATTAAATCTATCAAGGCATAACTTAAAATAGAACTGAATTTTTTACTAATACTTATTACATCGAGAGATGAAGAATGACTTGTAGAACAAAACCTTTCATTTTACATTCAATTTATAAAGGCTTATTGAAAGACAACAGCTAACATAATGCACGTAAAATTGTACACATACATTTTTTATATTTTCCCAAATACTAATTCAAATGTTTTCCTCCGTAGGACGAATTCGCAGCAACAGTAGAGGCATGGAACGAATTACGTGCTGAAGCGGTGACCATCGCGCTCACCAAGATAGTGATGCCGGAGCTTAGGAGGGAACTACAGGCTGTTCTGCTGCAGGAGTCCAAGGAATATGTTCTTAAGTAAGTTTCAAATAAGGTTCAAATTGTTTGACAGTATATATTGACTGTGTTTTTAAACTGTAATCTAGAACTTGTTCATGGTTTTACTTGCATTATTCAAGTATAAGAACAGTTCGTAGGTAATGGATGGAGACACAGAAAGAATTTTATTCAGCATTCAGTTGTAATGTCAAATGTGTGACTACACAACAACACCAATAAATATTTATTTAAATACTTTGCTGTTCCTCTATGGATATTATTATATCGTAATTAATTGCATATTTGTTCTTGTCTATAGATGTTGTCGTCGTCGGCTGTACGACTGGCTGAAGGTGGCGCCTTATGAGTCGAGAGTGTCTGATGACGATGATGAAGAGTGGTCGGATTCTAATGGTAAGTTATATGCTTCTTTTGGAATTACATAATATTATAGATCTGTTAAGTAGTTTTCACGTAAAAGAGTAACGAAGAAACAAACAAACATTCTCACTTATAAAATAAGTATAAGTTTTATTTAAAGGATTAATATAAAAGTATGTACCTATATGTATTTTATGTACAACATCGTTTCCCCCGCAGGTCTCCGCGTGCTGTCGATAGCGTACGTCCCGGACCGGCAGCACAGCGCCTTCGCGTGCGTCGTGGGCGCCGGCGGGGAGCTGGCCGACCATCTGCGCCTGCCGCATCTACTCTGCCGGCGGAACGCCTGGGACGCCAGGGAGCGCCAGAACAAGGAGGCCGACATGACGGCACTGCGCAGGTATGTACAATCTATTCACCAATCATCACTATACATGTGATATTGCTTGCACAAACTGAAGTAGCTATTTTTGAAATAAGAAATATTGGATCACTCTGCTTCTGACCAAAATGACGAATGTCAAACAACGAAGAGAATGAAATCACTTGTGTAGGCTGTAAACAAACCACTTGAAGCTGTACCTAAATATTTCTCTTTATATTTTAACTTACTTTTTAACACAAACTCTGCATAGGTATCTGTATGTAATAATAATTTTGTTTTTGATAGGTACAAGTTAACCAATTCAAAAGTTCATGATCTTTATTAAAAATCAACATTTCATTTCAACAGATTCATTCTGCGCAAGAAACCTCACGTAATTGTAATCGGTGGCGAATCACGAGAAGCTCTCAACGTGAAGGCGGACGTGTCAGAGTGTGTTCAACAACTTGTTGAAGACGAACAGTTCCCGCGGATACCTATAGAGATTGCTGACAACCATATCAGCAAGATCTACAGCAACAGTATTAGGGGACGGGTAAGTTCACTAAATTTACTAAGAAAATATGGTTATGGAAAGTTGGTGATGTATGATTGGGGAGAATCAAGCAAGTGCAATCAAAATTTTAATATATGAACATGTGTTTTATCAATACTTTTGTCTTTCCAACAGAACGACTTCAGAGAGTACCCCGACATCCTCCGCCAAGCTATATGCCAAGCACGCCTACTACAAGACCCTCTAATGGAGATATCACAACTGTGCGGACCAGACGAGGAAATATTGTGTCTCCGGTACCATTCACTGCAGGACCAAATTGCCAAGGAAGACCTACTCGAAGGCATCGAGCTTGAATTCGTGAACAGAGTCAACGAAGTAGGTGTCGATGTCAACGAAGCAGTGCTTACTGGCCGGGGGACCGAGCTCCTGCAGTTTGTATGCGGCCTCGGACCAAGGAAAGCACAAGCACTAATAAAGCTCTTCAAACAAACCAACCAGAAACTAGAAAACAGAACACAACTCGTCACAGTGTGCCACATGGGACCGAAAGTCTTCATCAACTGCTCAGGGTTCATCAAAATCGATACGAGCAGTCTCGGCGATAGCACAGAGGCCTACATCGAAGTCCTCGACGGATCTCGAGTACATCCAGAGACATATGAATGGGCTCGAAAGATGGCGGTCGATGCGCTTGAGTACGAAGACGAGGACGCCAACCCAGCTGGCGCATTAGAAGAAATTCTAGAAGCTCCCGAAAGACTGAAAGACTTAGATTTGGATGCCTTCGCCGAAGAATTGGAGCGGCAAGGCTTCGGCAATAAGAGTATAACATTGTACGATATCAGAGAAGAATTGAACTCTAGGTATAAGGACCTTAGGGTCGCTTATCGTTCGCTCACGCCTGAAGAGTTGTTCGATGTGCTAACTAAAGAAACGCCGGAGACTTTCTATGTTGGCAAGATGGTGTTGGCGTCCGTCGTTGGCATCACACATAGGAAGCCACAGAGGGAGATGTTGGACCAGGCTAACCCCGTCAGGAATGACGAGACAGGGTTGTGGGAGTGTCCCTTCTGCCACAAGAACGACTTCCCCGAGTTATCTGAGGTGAGTCTAACGATTTGGTTCTCATTTCATTTAGAATGAGAAAACAGTACATAATGGTAACTTATTGTATTCTTAACTGATGCTTTTCTTCTATCTATATAACTAATTATTTATTTCCCAGGTATGGAACCACTTCGACGCAGGCGCATGTCCAGGTCAGGCGACGGGTGTTCGAATCCGGCTAGACAACGGTTTATCAGGCTACATTCACATCAAAAATCTATCCGACCGGCACGTGTCCGATCCGACAGAACGTGTCCGAATCGGACAGACTGTACATTGTAGGATATTGAAAATAGATGTAGAGAGATTCTCAGTAGACTGTTCATCGAAATCATCGGACTTGTTGGATAAAAACAATGAGTGGAGGTGAGTTCACAATCCTTTTGTGCACAAAGTTTCAGTAAATAGTGATTTGTAATTGTTTCAATGGATTTTATTTTATTATTTGTAATAGGTTTTTTGCTAGTAGTTTTAATGTTATCGTAAACTAGTTTTATTAAACGCATCTTTAACCACGCTTAGATCAGTCGCTATTTCTAGATTTACTAATTCACATATTTTGTTTGTAGACCTCCAAAAGATCCGTACTACGATCAAGAAAACGAAGATAAGGACCTTCGTAAGGAGAAAGAAGCGAAACAGACGAAAGAACGCATGCAGTATGTGAAGCGAGTCATAGTGCACCCTGCCTTCCATAATATATCGTTCGCCGAGGCTGAGAAACTCATGGAGAAGATGGGACAAGGCGAGGTCATCGTCAGGCCCAGTAGTAAGGTATATAGAACAGTCTTCTAGACTTTTTGCGCTTAGTAGATGGCGGTAGTGACATATTATCATGTTAGTCCAATCTCATTTAGTATCTATTACCCATATTATTACGCTGATTGTGCTTATTACGGTTCTGTGTGTTTCGTTTGGTAATAATGTTAATTCTGTTGTTCCAGGGTTCTGATCACCTCACTGTCACATGGAAAGTGGCAGACGGCATTTACCAACACATTGATGTGCGAGAAGAAGGAAAGGAAAATGCGTTCTCTTTAGGTATGTATAAATAATGATGTGGCTATTATAGAGTTGCATGCTAAATAAGTGCATAAGAATATTTTATTAATGACTACTTTTTGTCTTGCAGGTCGAAGTTTATGGATTCAAGGTTCTGAATTTGAAGATCTAGACGAAATAATTGCGCGACACGTGACTCCAATGGCAGGGCACGCGCGTGATCTGATCGGATACAAATACTACAAGCCCCTCGGGGGCATGAGAGATAAGGCCGAGGAAATCCTTAAAGAGGAGAAGGCGCGCAACCCGAACAAAATTCACTACGTGATCTCAGCCGCAAAGAACTACCCCGGCAGGTTCCTACTGTCGTACTTACCGCGCGCGCGCTGCACGCACGAGTACGTGTCCGTCACTCCCGACGGGTACAAGTACAGGCAGCGCACCTTCGACTCCCTGCCCGGCCTTCTGCGCTGGTTCAAGGAGCACTTCCGGGACCCGCCCCCCGCCGCCACCCCCGCCGCGCGGACCCCCGCCACCGCGCGCACGCCCCACGCCGGCTCCGTCTACCACACGCCGGCCAACCACACGCCTGCCTTCCACACCCCGGCGCATACGCCGGGCCCCGCCTACATCAATACGCCGTATACGCCGTCCGCGCAGACGCCTTATATGACGCCGTTCGCGACCACTCCTCGTCAACCCGACTTCCTACCGCCTCCGGCTCGCGTGCGACCGCCGCCCTCTGGCTACACGGAGCCCGCGGACTGGCAGAAGGCTGCCGAGGACTGGATGCGACGCAATAACCGAGAGGCATCATCCACTCCGCGCGCCTCCGCTACGCCTCGCGCGTCCCGCACGCCGCGGGACGTGCGGGACGTGCGAGACGTGCGCGAGTCCCGGTCGCTGGGCACGCCGCGCACGCCGCGCACGCCGGGCGGCGCGGGCGTGTCGGGGCGCTCGTCGCGCGCCATGTCGCTGCGCTCGACGCCGCACACCAACACGTCGCCGCGCTCCATGTCGCTGGGCGACGCCACGCCGCTGTACGACGAGAACTAGCGCGCGCCGCCCGCCGCTCTACAGCGCTGTCCGACTGACTCGGCTCGAGGATGTATACAGCATATTGCTGACGTTATGTCCCTCGTTACGTTTCTACATCTGTATAAACTCCCTAGTATGTTTTGTTTCGAACTAGACCTCATTCATTAGGTAGGAAGTAGTAAATAGTTCGGGCCGGTGGAGGTTCCCTGCTGGGTGTCCCGGGCCGGGCTACTAGATAGCTAGAATCCGTTTATGATGTATATTGAGAGGTTTGACTGTGTACACCTGTTATCGTGCCGACCTTCGTCGTAGTAATACGCCATGGCTCTACGACGTCTTTACAAACATTGTAAATTTATTATATTTAGTAAACTACGCGTATAGGGTCCGCTGATTAAAAATTATGCCAACATTATTTACATACAAATCAATAAAGCAACACGTACCCAACAGAGGTATTGTAGAGTATACCAAGGAGTTGGTATCATTCATGACAATGAAGATATTTTTACTGTTAAGACTGCTTTCATAATGTATGATGTAAATGCATATCTAGTAACTATGCGATGAATTAACTAGTACTTTATTTTGTAAAGTTTTGTAACATCTCTTGCTACACGCAGGGGTCTGTGTCTGCTTAGACGCACCGTTTGTTTATCAAAGAGTTTGAAACTTTATTCGTGATTTATTAATAAACTCATGGGTCTTTCAATTTTCTTTCTTGTTAAACATAAAGTTCTCTTATTTACATTAATACCACCACTCTTGAGTATTGTCGTCGTCCATCGTGTGAAGACTATGTAAACTGGTCAAAGCTGACGCGTGTATACACGACATACAGATGGTCCGTCTAAGTGGAGATGGCCCTAACTGTGTAAACTTTTGTTACCTAATTTGAATTTGTCGCTTGTATGAAAGCAAATTATTTAATTATTGTCAATACTATCGATTGAAATGTAATCTTAATTTATAAATGGCAATAATAGTAATGTATAGTGAATAACAAAAATTGGCGAAAATTCACACTTCAGGAAATGCCTTAGCTATGGTTAGTGAGCAATGGGATCTTTCATGGATTATTCACAACACTACTCTTGGAAAATAATACAAATTATGACAATTATAACAAACGAATTTTTATTTTTATCCTTCTACGAGATGTGTACCTACTAAAAAAATTAACCAGATGATAACACCTTTTGATAAGATTAAATGGTTAAGACAAAAAAAAGATGGATGTATATAAGACTAGAAGTGGGTCAACGTTTGTGTTCTGAAGGTTAAACCTCTTTTTTCCTCAAGGGATTAAACACTCATAACAGTGAAGAAGTCTATATAAATGAATTAATCAAAATAAACACGGTATTATCAACGACTCTTACTTGTGTTGATGATAAAAGTCTGTTAGATTTTGATTGGCAATAATGGCATCAGAGTGTGTATACGTAAAGCTGACCGTGATTTCCGATGTTTTAAACATGTTATTCATCCAGTACCTTTTAAGTATTTACTTGGCCCGCCACTAGAACTTTCTTGTGCGGTCATGTCGTGAGTACCTATATTAAAAACCCTTTTCGCTCACACCCAGAGCAAATGTCAGGCCACTTATGTACATACGTATACGTACATGTACAGGAATCAAACTCTCAGCACCTATTTGTAATGTGGAGCAATGAGGGAGACGAGTTACTTATAGGAATATCTTTAATTGAGTGTCTTAAGAACTAACTTACACTACCTACTTACTTATAGGGCGAGGTGTCACACACACTACACCACTGCGCTAACCTTGCAGTCAAAGTAGGTAGTTGATCAGATGGAATAATGTCTATAACAACGATCTTAACGGTCTTCAGATTAAAATTGTAGCATACGTGTTACGATAAAAATTAGTAGGTAGGTATGTGAAACGTCTGAAATCGCAGGATGTGTTTAGTTGAGAGCCAATCTTCTAAGTGACGAACACGTGAGCCGTCAAGAGTCGTCAAGATCATTGGCTTCGGCCGCGGACGCTGGAAGGCGTGTTTTGTCGCTGTGTTTAGTCTGTGAAAGATCGCAGGAGCGTCGCGCGCGCTCTTCTACTTTTTTATTTTTTTCGCGCGCAATAAAAGGTTTATGTGATATTTTTAATCTGTTACAATTTTTGTTTGTCTTCTTTAATGTGGTAAGTAAGTACCTACCTATATTATTATTACTATCGTAGTATAACGTTAACAATCGCCATCGATTCAAAACAATGGTCAATTGTGTGTTATTAAAAATTAATATTATTAAACATAAGTAAGAACGGACACAATTTTTTTGGGCCAGTATTTTCAGTAAATTAGTTACCCAAACAAATATGCAAACGTAGTGTAGGGCGCCCTCCAGCTAGGTGGAGTGACGATAAGTTTACGTAAAGTGGCTGGTAGTGGTTGGATGCGTAGAGCTGAAGACCGAGCTCAGTGGCGTGCCATTGGAGAGGCTTATGTCCAGCAGTGGACGAAAACAGGCTGTCGATGATGAAATATGCATGAAGGCTGAATGAAAATAAATCATAATCTATTGTATACCGAATGTTCTTACCTATAATCAATTTTCTTATGCAAATTACTACGAGCAATATCGCGAACCATTGATACCTACTTCAGACTTCAACTAGGTAACAGATAGGTAGGTACGCCAGTCCATAACTGGTTTTCATCAAAATAAATGAACACACCTTTACATAAAAAATATACAAAAGCAAGCTGTTATGTAACGTCATTATATTTATTTATTTTAATTTCGATTTTTTTATATCTTGTGGGACTGGTAGGCCATTTATTTATTATTTATTTATTTCAATTAAATAGTATAACATTATAGTCATGTCAGTCATTACATTATTTATGAACCTATATATGGTGATTATGATTTCTTGTGGGACCTATTTAAGCCCTACATACCTACTGGGAGCGCTGCTGTGTCTCATCTATCGGTAAAACAACAACTGAACACTTTTATTGAGGATATATTCCCAAATAATACAATATAAACTGGTAATTTGTAGTATGATGTACCTACGTGCAAATTCAAAGTTACTGGCTTTTACGGTTTACGTTTACGGTAATTAAAAAAACAACAATAACACGAAGTTTCTTATAATAACTAGTCTTGTCTACACAACAATGGGACTTTTAACAAGTACTAGTAACAATTATTGATGAAAAGTGGTAATTATGATATTTAGTAGGCAACTAGATAACTGTACTGCCAGTACCTTCCTACTAAGTACTTACCACCTTAGAATGCATCAAGGTAGCCGGCAAAAAATTTAACTTTTCATACATTTTTTGCAATATTTACTTACTTCGATATCGGATGGTGCATGTGTTTACACAATCATAAAATCATAATTATCTAACTAATATATTGTAAATGTGATTGTTTCTTTGTTTGGATGTTTGTGAATCACGCTGAAACTACTGAACGGATTTTGATAAAATTGGTATACAGCCTGCGTATGGGCTGACTTAGGTGACAGGATACTTTTATCCCGATTAAATGTTCCCATGGAATAAAACTGGAATACCCGGGCATAGCGGCGGGTAAAAGCTAGTTTGTTATATAAAACCATCAACACAACTATGTACATAGGTACCTAACTCAAAGAAGGCCTGCGACGTCCAACTTTTATTAAAATTTCTCCAATTTCAGAGATATGTAGAGAGGAGATAATTTCCATCACATAGTAAGTTAATAATAAAAAAGTATTGTGACGTGGTCAGCAAAGTAAAGTTACCTTGAATAAGTTGCGCATCACCGGATTTGTCACTAAAGTGAATTTGAAATGAAGTGGTTCGACGACGTACGTATTTATCATTCATACATGCGTTGAGATAAATAAATAATACTTAATAGTGTAATTAAGACAAAGAAAAAAATATAATATTAAATAAAGTTTATTCTCCTCTTTGGTTCCGAGTTACAAAGTTCGCCAGGTCAGAGTCAGGACGACTGGAGACGAGAATAGAAAAATTATGACCTGTTGATGTACATACAAACATACCTACGTCGGTTAGTGTTAAGCAATAGTGTATTTTGTAATTAGTGCAGCTATCGTAAATATACCAAATTATTTAGCTCAACAACTTCCAAGGTTTCTCGACGAATTTCAAGCCACATCAGGAGCCCATAATCGTGAGCAACATGCGCGGCAATAGACGCGGCTAGCATTGGTTGCACGACGCGTCGGCACGATGTCTTTTAAAAATTCATTATATAACTATGAACTTCATTGAAGGTGTAACAAGCCGTTTGACAGGTACCATGCACAAAATGATTAGTTAGACAAGTTAATGTGTGCCAAGATCGACCATAATTCGACGGTATAACGTATTTAATCGGGGACACGTGACTTTGATAGATACATAGATTCAATACAAAACGCGTGTTTATAGTTTTTACAACAATAATAATCATATAACCAAAATAGTTTTTGCCAATAGGTATTTAATACTTGATACTGCCGAATCTTGCAACGAATTCTTAATAGATACTATGATGTTCGGCAGTCATCCAATTACATTTTTTTATGGGATAAGACGGTACATGCAAACGGATGACCTGATTGTAAGTAATCGACGTCGCCCATGGACTCCCGGAACACCAGAGGCGTTACAAGTGCGTTACCGGCTTTTGGGAATTGGGAATTTGAGGATTGTGGGGGATTCGGGGATTGGGGAGACTGGCGAGGAGAGGAAATGGGCCTCCGGTAACCTCACTCATACACAACGCAAGCGTTGTTTTACATCGGTCTTCTGCGAGGCCGTGGTATCACTTGAAAGAGACAGAGATGGAAATTAAGAATGGAAATTAAGAATTTGAGAATTGTTAGGGATTCAGGGATTGAGGAGATTGTGGAAGGAGGGGGGGTCATTTCTTTCTTTCTTTATTAAGTATTACAATGACTAGTTAGACTAAAAAAAAATAATTTTCAATACATAACGTCCACAAAAAATGCGATGAATGAATAAACCGTCTTTAGTAGTGCCTTGAGGCACTTAGCTTGAGCCCTTGAAGGTTCTAATTAAAGAAGGTATTTGATAATAAAAAGGTTTTTGCATAAAATATAATAATGTCAGTGTCATCTTTATCGGGGTATTTCTTTATTTCTTCCAACTTTTTATAGTATCATTATTTATCATTTTAAGTCAAGCAGTCATTTCAGTCATTTATGGCATAATTTCTATAACAATCATTGGAAAATGTACTCTATTTCGTCTTACACAAGTTTCGTTGACTTGTTGTTTATGAGCTGAAATCAAAACTTATCATTTTCCACTAGAAACTGCTGAGTACAGGCCTCCTCCATTTTGTGCTCTACTTCTTGGTTTTATGCATCCTGGTCCGGGACCGATCTGCTTCTACCGATTCTAGTAGTATTCTATTAATGTATGACCAGTTATTTTACAAAAAATAATAAAACCAACTTGATAGTCAAAATGTGCAAATAATTACGGGCTTATTTACTTTATCCGCATGGTTTGGTCTAATTATAGCAAAAAATGTATTACCATGTCATTAATATTTATGTTGAGTAGTTACCTACTTACATACTTAGTATTAGGCAGTACCTATCCTATGTTTGAGAAGTTTCCATCATAAGAAAACCTATCTTCGCGAATGCAAAAACATTTGTCTTCAAATTCTAATATACGTAGGTACTTTAGAGCCCCAGATTTCTAAAGTTCGATTCATTAATGGAATGGGATATTGTATGTAACTTAAATTTTGTTACTATCAGGTAGTCTGGAAAATATAAGTTTCAAAAGTGCCTAATTAAGGATTATTACTTGAAATAAATGCTTTTATTTTGACTTTGAATCTTAATTTTGGTTTTACAAAAACATTTTTCGATCGAAATTAATAAAGTCAATCATTTAAACTATTTAAAGATATAGTAGCAATATAAAGTAATTCACTGATATAATAAAAGGAGCTTCACAAGAACGAAAGATCCAAAATAAATGACTGCAAATTCACAAAGCGAATTATAACAGCGGCGTTTTTAGAATTTTAATGACGTTTTAGCTAAAACTGGTACTCGCTAGATTTTTGTAATATGTGATCATCATGTAGCTACCTATTTAAATGTCACTAGATAGTTGAATGACAATGCGGGTTATGAACAAAACATTTATAATTTATCATGACTATTTTGCACAGGTCTACGTGTACCGCGTAACCTTTAAAAAACAAAAATTATAACTAAAAAAACTTGTATTAATCGTTATCTCAAGGTCACATGTTTTTCTTGACACCGAATAACTTCTTAGTTTTTCCAATGTGTTGTTTTATAGGCTTTTTGTTTGGTTTCTTTCGTAGCCCTTTAGAAGGACACGTGTTTATTATGTAGTACACAAAAGCTATAATTAAAATTGTTAGATAAAGTGTAGATGTTGCTGGGTCTGGATCTAATTAATATAAGTATTCGGTAATTAAAATAAGTACTTTCAGATTTAATTTATGTCCTAATTGTATCTATACCGTGGAAATAAATTCACTTGTTTCACTTCACTTGTTTCACTTGTTTCACTTGTTTCACTTGTTTCACTTGTTTCACTTGAAAACGGGATTTCATAATTTCTGTCCTTTTTTTTGACGAGGACAACGTTCAAAAGGCGCTAGTTTTTTGGGGAAAAAAGACTAGGGAGTGTGGGATTTTTACTTCACTAAAACCACTCTGGTGGCCACCGTACTGACTTCAACAAAGCTTTTTTATTACAATTAATATTGCTATTTTAGTGATAGAAAACCAACACGATATGAAACTAAAAAAATAATTATGAATGGAATCATTTCAAATAACTTAAACTAAGAACATGTGTGTGTTTGATAATAATGTAAATCATAACAATTTAAATTACAATTTCTTGTGGGACTGTAATTAAGAATTTGATCTTCTAACCGGTTATGCAGATCTCTGGGGTATTCACATAGTTTTTGTTTAAGCTGTCAACGTTTTTTTGGGTAAATATCGAAGAAAACTGGTCATCAACAAAGAGTCTACGAAATGGTAATTTATTTTGGTATTCTTATTGCCTACAATTTATCTGAGGATATTTTAATGCTTTTAAATGAGTAAACCAGGTACCCGTCCCGTCCTTCGGCTTTTGAAGACCATTCGACTTTGATCGGATC